AATAAATAAATAAATAAAAAATAAATATTCGTATTGGTTATTTTTAATTAATTTAGAAAGATAATGCATACATTTGATTACTATTGTTATTACGTCGAGGTCCGGAAGGTGGACCCGAGATCGGTGGTGGAACGATACCTGGAAACATATGGGGAGGCATCATAGTCAATCCTGATGTATTTTGCGTTGAGAATTCTGTTGACGCTTGAGCAGGATTAAAAACTCCAATAGTAGGGGAATCTGAATTATTATTATTATTATTACTACTATTATTATTATTCCAAACCGAATTAAAAAACTGAATTATAAATTTTAAGTTATAATAATAATAGAAAAAAAATGATAATAATAATAATATTATTATTAATTAATAAATTATTCTCGTTATTATCAGATAAGTATTGTAAATTGTTAAATGAAAAAATATACATACAGTCCCTTCACGTTGTTGAGATATAGGAACAAAAGTCGAAGGTCTATTATTTGTTCGCTTTTGATCAAGTTGTCTATCGTTCGATTTACTTTCACAAGTTACCTCTCCACTTGTCATATTTCCCCACTGGTTTTTCCAAAGAGAATTATTATTTTCAATTGAGTAATTTGGATGGTACCAATTAGAGGCTGGGCCAAAATTAAAAAATTAAAATGTGTAGTAATTAATTTTTTTATATAACCTAAACTTATCGTTATATAAAACTTTCAACAATTAATAATTCCTGCAAAGTTATGGGCGGAAATTTTTAGTTGGATTAATGAAATTTAGAATGATACTCATAAATATTCATAAACAGCTTGGCTCAAATGATCCGAAATTGATCTGGTTCAGGTTAGTTTGGGGTATTCTAGTTAATCTTTTCGGAGCACTACTCATAAATGGGATATAAAAACTTATAAGTGATTCATAAGCAATTTTACGATCACAGATCAAATCATCACTTTTAATCTCAGTAATCACGCCATGTTTTATATATTATTGGCTTAGATTATATTTAATTTCATCGTTCAATTTAAATAATCTCTATTTTCCGCCCATATGAATAGAGTAATCTGGATCAAGATCAAAAAGAGACTATTGTGGCAAACAGACAATTATTATGACTATTATGTCTTTACATATTGTTGTTAATAGGATATGCCATAAATTACGCGGATTAGACCAAATATTTCAAGCTACGACGAAGAATATTTATAATTAGAAATGAACTTTCAAAAAATTTATATTTTTTTCTTCTGTGAGTGGATTTATTTATCGATTCTATTGTGGCAAAAATTTATCGATTCCATTGGGCAAAAAAGTTTAGAATAGCTAAAAGTTTAAAAAAACTTAACCATTTCTCATTCCGATTTTCTGCCTATCTACGCCAAAAAAATTCTTCTACGTCGTACGAACATAGTATGGTTTTGTAGTTGTCTATATATTGTTTTAACCAATAAAAGATGAACTTTCTATGATTTTTTTTTTTTTTTTTTTTTTTACAATGACGTTAGTTTTTTTTTTACGTTGCACCAAATTCAGATTTGTATATGAAGAGACTATACGTAGCGATAAAACATCTATAAACTTTTTAACGTTAAATAATCACCTTTAGGATCTATTCAAGTACGTACTAATTTAAAGTATAAAACTATTGTTACAATTGAATTAATATTTCCTTTTTGAACGTACTCAATAGTCACATGCACAATCGAACCTATTGCGAGAAGGACAGGATTGAAATACCAATATGTGATATGATTGTGTGATTTTTGCATTTCAAGTCTCAAGATTGCAAAAATATCACCACAGCTTATACAAATATACAATTATTTTCATTTTCATAACAGGAAATTAGTACATATTCTCGATCATAATTTTGGCCAAAATTAATGTGACTACTATTTATAACGTTATGTGACAAATGCGAAAGTGACAATTGCGAAAGTGACAAGTGTGAGTGTTGACTAAAGTAATACAAGTCATGTTCTAAAATTTTTTACAGTATTACCAACATATCTTATTCCCTTGACTCTGTGCCCTTCTCTTCCGGCAATTTTGTGATTCAACGACATTCAATTTTTTTTTTTTAATATGGTTTAAAAAAGGGGTCACGCTGATGGTCTCTCTGGCATCTTAATGATCTTAATTTACTCCTAGTTGTTAATCGTTCATAATTATTGTCAAATTTATTATTTTAAAGCCCAAAATATGCCCGATGAAGATTCATCTGTGGCAAATTCAAATCCAACTGTTGATGTCAAAAAAATTGTTTTGTTGAAACGAAATCCAAACAATGTGATCGATAATAACAGTACTCAATCCAGTGTTATATCTAGTACTCTCATTTCATCCATCGATTTGATACAAACCCCAAGCAGATCTGGTTCTTCATCACCAAATCTTGAAGTTGAATTGACCCCTGAGCAAAGTGCTCATCTTGGAGAAATAGATTTCAACACAGGTCTAGATGGTTTCTTATTGGCTGCTCTAAAAAATCCAAAGGATAGATTATTCCTTTTAAAATTAGATCGTGAAATGGAACGGTTTATAAACGATAAAAAGTATGATTTTTAATCCTTTTTAATGTTTCATTAATTTCATTACAGTAATTTTATTATTATTATTTCCTTACCCATTTTCTTAATTTCTTTTTTTAATTTATTCTTAGCCATACGAGATTGGAGTTTCCTCCCATGAATTCCTATCAACGACTGATTGTTCATCGTGTTGCTCAATATTTTAAATTATCACACGTTGTTGACAGCAGTGGAAAAGCTGTTGTCCTATATAAATCACCTGATACTCAAATGTATGCATTATCTTTCTAAATTAATTAAAAATAACCAATACGAATATTTATTTTTTATTTATTTATTTATTTATTTATTTTTTTTTTCTTGAAATCTTTTTTAAATTTTAGACCAATACTTCGTTTTTCGGACCTTCTTGAACAAGAAGAGGAAAAGCCAGAGAAATCCGTAAAAATAATGAGACGACAACAATTTAACTCTCAATCTCAACTTCGATCTTCTACTGGTGATTCTGATAGCAATTCTGAGGGTGAACGTAAAATTTTAACCATCGAAGAACGTGAAGCTGCTTACCAAAAAGCTAGAGCAAGAATATTTAAAGATTTGGAACAAAAGAACGAAGATATTGATCAAGATGAAATTGAAGAACCTACCTCTTCAAGTCCAACTTCTAAAAATTCTAATAATTCTAATTCTTCTTCAAATAACAGTGATCAACAAAACAGTAGTGACTTACCCTCTCAAAATAAACCAAAAGGCTCTCAACAATCAAAAAATTCAAATACAAATAATAATAAAAGTGTTAAACAGTCACAACAAACAAATAAATCTGTTGGAAATAACAAAAATAAAACTAGTGTAAATACCGTAAAGAACCGGCAACAACAAACTCAAAGGTTACAACAGATCAATTACACTCCTCAAAATGATCGATCATTTTATTTGCCTAAACAACCTAGACCAGTTGGTTATCCACCTCCGATGATGCCACCAGGTCCATTCGGTCATCCTCCATTTTTCGGTGGCCCACATTTAAACATGTATGATGTTAATATGTTGTCTATTCAACCTCAAATTTTACCACCGGAGATGCATGCAATTGGAAATCATCCTTACATAAATGTTCCTCATGATTGGAATCCTCAAATCGCTACCTATGGTCGTCCAAATGTAAGGAGTGTATGGGGTGATTCGTTTAATGCTCCGCCGGAAATGGGTGGAGGGCCATCTCTGTTCAATCAGCAACCAAATACTGGAAATTCTTTTTTATCACGTCCTGCTCAACAAAATGATGTTAATTTTGCTTCAAATCAAGGTCCAAATCATTTGAAATACATGAATCAACTTCCTCAATCTTCGTTTTCTCAACCTTCTAGTGCTGCTTCTTTTGGTGAAACAAATCATGTAATTAATTCATCTGCGTCTCCCGCAGATGGAAATTCTAATAAATTAACTTCGGTTAGAGACGGAACTACTTCTCCTAATTCTCCAATATCTCAAACTGGATTTGAAAATAATAATTCTCTTTGGAAAAACCAGTGGGGAAATATGACAAGTGGAGAGGTAACTTGTGAAAGTAAATCG